AAAAACTAAAGCGAGTGTTAGCCTGAAGAGAGGGGGGAGCCGGTACCCTCCTAGCCTAGCCACGGATTTAGGGACTAAACCTAGGATTAGCCAATGGTTTTCTATGCATTGTATCAGGGTAGAGAATTATAATTGCTCCTATTTGGCACAATACATATTATAAACATTTATCTCATCTCATTTCACCCGAACCTCATTGCAGTGAGAGAATTGTCTGCACTAAGATTTCGACCATTTCTTGACTTATAAAACATAGTTAGTAGATTAGTATTTACTTATTAAAACTTTGCATTTCTATTTTGCTAATAGTTAAGTACTTTAGTTTTGATAACATATCTCAACATTCGTCAAAATTAATGACAGTGATTTCATTTGATTTTCTATAAATTTCCTAGTAAAACTTATCATTGCCAATTTACACCTTCCTTGTGGGATCGATATTTGGGGCTTAAATAGAAAGTCTTTTATTACTTGATAACGATATGTATACTTTCGTAGAATCCCATTATTAATTTCTTATAATTATATATATTTTACACAACTTACTTTTCATACAAGGATCAAGTTTTTGGCGCTGTGGTGGTGTCAACTTCATAAATCCTTACATATAAAAAATTGGGATCAGCTAGCCATCATATTGGACTCAATTGATTAATCAATTTGGTGTGGATGATTGTCACAAATAATTTAGAAAATATTTGGAGTGATTTTGAGTTGATTTGGTGGGTCAATTGAAGAAATTTGGACATTTGATGAATTTGGGTATGTTGGGCTAGACTTGGGCTTAGGTTGGGCTAGAGTTGGGTTAAGTCCAAATTCATGGTTGAAAACTATCCAGGGAAATATCATGAAGAGTTCTTAACATCAATTGGGCATCAATTTTGGAGTTTGAGCATTCAATTAGGTGCATTTAGAGACATGGCCAAATTGGGGCAAATTGGGGGTTTTGGTCCAAGTTGATTTTAGGTGAAATTGAGGATTGAACAAGGACAATTGAAGGTTCAATTTGATGTGTGGAAATATTTTAAAGAGTTTATGAAGCACAATTGAGGTACCTGGAAAGATTTGGGGGACAATTGAATGGGATTTTGGTTTTAGGCCAAATTGGGGCTTTTTTATTTGGGTTGAAATTGGATTCAAATGTAGTCAATTGGACTTAGATTTGGTTTGAATTAAGGTTGATCATGATGAATTTGAGTTGATAATTGAAATTGGGAGAAATTAGGATCAAATTGATGGACATTTGAGATGAATTTGGGGAATTTGAGAATGGACATTTGAGATGAATTTGGGGAAATTGGGTCTTTAAGGGCAATTTGGGGGCTTTTGGTCAAAATAGGTCAAATTGGGCTCAATGAAAGAGTTCAAATTAGTTTTGGAGACATTTTAAATGGTTTTGGAGAGTTTGAAAAGTTTTGACCATCAAGGGATTTTTTGTAATTTTGGCCAAATGAGGAGTACTGGTTGTGTGATAGATTGAGTGAGAGTGTGAGATAATTTTGGCAATTTTGGGTGGTTTTGGGCAAATTGGGTAGTTTGAAATGGTCTGAAATGATTTTTGAATAAATGAAATGATTTTTGAATGATTTTTGAATAAATTTGGGTAGTTTGGGTGAAATTGAGAATTTTGGTCAAATTTGGGGTTTGGTGGTGTTTAGGTAATTTGGGTAGATTTGGGGGACAAAAGGCCAAGTTGGTTATTTTGGTGAAATTGAGGTGCCAACCACCCTATGTGAGCCATGGACCAATGGAATCCCCATTTGGGTCCACTATGTATTGGTCTTAGTTAGACTCTAGCCTAGGGCTAGTGGGTCAAGGGGACCATCTACATGAGTCTCCCAAAAAATTAAATGATCAAAGTCAACAAGTTTGAGTTTAGGGTTGTGAGTGAATGTGAATGAAAGTGAGTGAACTAGCTCCAGATCAACACCTAGGGTCAATCCTAAGAAAAAGCAGTTTTATGGGGACTCCCCTTGAGCTCCCATATTGGCCCCCTACTAAATGCTAGAGGTTAGGACCAATATGTGGAACTTCAAGTTGAGCAAAGAAGAGTGTAGAATTTCTAATGATAGGGTTCCTTTTCTATTCCTCTAGTAATAGTCAACAGAAAAGTCCTATCGCTAGACCATAGGCTACTAAAGAGGAAAGGCTAGACCTCAACCAAAAGTGAGGTCAACAATCACATGTGCTATGTTAGCGTTTGGTTGATGACTAAGATCTTGGGAACGATCGTCTGTTCTTTTTTATGTCACGACCCCCAGCATAAGTCTTACACTTCTTGTCTCATTCACTCAGTTGGATTGTTGCCTTGGTCAAATAGCTGACAAGACTTGTTGTTAGAGTGATTTGTGTTGTACCTTTCAAGAATCTTGTAGCTACTAGGTACAAATCCCTCTATTGGGCTTTATCCTTATTGATCTTTCTGATTGGATTTTTTATGCTTTGCATTGAGGGTCAGATAATTGTTAGGATGTTGATTGGACATCCATGGCATTGTTGTCGGTTGCTTTTATTATTTTCTACCAACCGGGCATTTATGACATTGCTTTAGATTTATTTTATGATATTATTGGCTGACTCACTTGCTATATTTTTCAAGTTCTCAGTTGCTTGATTAGATTGTCACCTCAGTTAGCCCATCCCTTTGTGAACCTTGTCTATACTTTGCAAGGAAAACCTCTAAAGCTTTATCCAATTTAAGTTTAGAGACCAAGGTTCATGATGTAGAACATTTGTGGGTTATTCTAATGACTTGAACTCTCTGGAGTTGTTTGGATTCGAGTTCCACAAGTGTCAATTAGACTTGAGGAAATATTAAAAAGGGTTTAAGTATCACAACACAGAGAATATGTTTTGAGATGATATTGCCTTCATTTGTTAATTAAGCGATCATCCGTCAAAAATGGATAGACCATTGCATAAGTATCATTAATTGGCTTGATCTGTACATGGGGATTCATACGTCAGTTTTGGGTTTCACCTCTTAGCCACAACCTATAGGAAGACGATAGAAATTAGTCTTTCGTCTCTTGTTCTGCTACTTAATGAAATCTTTGACGTGCTCCCAGTTAGGAGTGTCTATGTGGTGTATTACTTCTCATTGGTGTTGCTCCCCTTATTGTTGGTAACTTGCTTTAAGCTCACCACATATATGAGGATGTTGAATGCAGATTTTTCTAAGGTGGCATGCCCAAGAATGAGAGTAGATGGGACCGTGAGGGAGAGGTAAAGTGAGACAGAGAGGGAGAAGGAGAAGAAAATTTCACACATAGACATGTCCCGTAGTGGTGAATTGGGGTATTCTTGGGCTCTGTGAGTCATTTAAGATCTTGTAAGTATCTGTTACAAGAGAGAAGGGGAGAGAGGTCTCCCTATAATAAATGGGTATAGAGAAGAAGAACCAAATGCCCAAAGGCAAAAGATTTCAAATATATGCGATGACCCCCCTATTTATAGAAGATAGAGGGTCAACAGTTAAAAATTACATGCTTGCCCCTTCCTTAATAGGAGTGTTACAGTGTATTCTTGTCTTTTGGTGTGTATTTTCTTTTCAATAACTAATTTTGTCACATTTTCATATGGACGTCGATATGCCTTAACTCGGGGAGTTGTCCAAATTTTGGTTTGGAAATCGATCGACTTTCGATCTGTGGAGCCGGTCGGCTTTGAATGTGGTAGCCGATTTGGCTTAGGGCATTCGGTCTGTCTGTCTGATTATTATTCCTTAGTGATCTATGAGATCTTTGGAGGAGTTGTTGAGAGAGCTTCAGAGCTTCGGGTTGATACTTGTGGGATTGTTGGGGGTTGTTAGACGTTTGGCCGTTTGTGTGGATGCCTATCTCTAGTTGGCCCAAGTGGCTATTTGGTTATCAGGTTGACCATCAGTTGATTCGCAGTCCTTCGTTCTGTCTCCAACACATCGGTCAGCTGGCCTTCAGTCGGTTGTGATTTTAGAACGGTCGGCTTCGTGGGTACTCTTTCAATCAAGAGGATCTCGGTTATCTTTTTTAATCTCTTGGTTTATATTGTGGTTCGTGCACACAATTTTTAGGGATACAATACGTTATAATTGTTTTTAAGGGCACTAATTCATAAACATCACTTCAAACTTCAATCCATCCCGTGGTGACCGGTAGCCAAACATGACAAGATATCTCAACTTACTCTAATCACGAGCATGTATTCTCTAGCAGCATATAATTAAAAGCTCGTCCATATATAATTTAGAAAATATTATTTTTTCCCAGTTAACAAAACCTCTAAAGATTTCAATTATAAACAACTAGATGTAATACTAAATATTGCCGGCACCAAAACACTGGTACGTACAAATAATTAAATATTTAATAGTTCTTCAAGGCCATTTTTATTAAGAAAGCACAATCAATTTTTGCATAAAAAAAAATCTAAATTCAATAAAAATTAAAATAAATCTGTCGTTGGGCGTTCGATCACTATCTTAAAATCAGTACGTTAAATCCCTTACCCCCAATAATTGCTTAATTTATTAACAATTAGGTGAGATAACAAAACTTTTGTGGGGAGCGACGTGTGTATCAGTGAAGCTTGGGGGACCGTCCGCGAATCTCCTCCCCACCAAATGAATGCAACATCTCAATATATATATATATATAATAAGAAAATTAATATTTAACAGAGGCTCAAATACCGACGTTAGGCCTTATGATAAGAGTCTGCACTGCATGCTTAAATATTCGAGAACCTAGCGTCACTAGGGATCAAACCCGTGATCTGAGGGGACTCATATATGTTTGCCTCTTTCAATTATTTCATATTTGGCAAATTCGTGTATGTTAAAAACGCTTTTATATTACATGAATATCATATATTATCTGCTAACATATGAAACTTTTTCTGTGTCAAAACGCTTATATAAAATACCCAAGTAATGAAAAATTAGCTAACTAGTAATTCAAAGAAGTATTTGGATGAGCCGTTAATAAACAATGTATTAGATATTTAAAATTTTCACTCTGTGCGTGAAATCAACGACTCTTTTCCGCGGCAAGGTTGGGCAGCATAGCATTTTTGTTAGGGTATGGCCGAATCATTGCCCATCAACCAAACATCCAAATCTTTTCTACGTATAAATCAAACGAAGACTCCTTCAATCTCCCACAACGCACATCCCAATGTCTGCTTCTCATATCCTCGTTTCCCTTCTTATCATCTCCGGCGTTCTTCTTGCGGAGTCGAAAACACACCCGGTGGCTCCAGGCCCCGCCGCCGGTCCGCTCAACCTCACCGCCGTCCTGGCAAAGAGCGGCCAATACACAACACTCCTGCGTCTGCTCAAGGAAACCCAGGTCGGCGTGCAGATTCAGAGCCAGCTGAACAATTCGTACAATGGGCTCACACTGTTTGCTCCTACGGACGATGCCTTCTCTTCTCTTAAAGCTGGTACTCTCAATGGCCTGGACAACCAGGAGCAGGTTTCTTTGGTGCTCTACCACGTTCTCCCACGGTAATTTCATTTCGATTTAGGTTGGTATTTGTTCGTGCAATATGAGAAATTATTGCATATGGTCTGATTTGACCGTAGATCACGGTGATCTACGATCAGGATATATTTTAATTTTTTTTTAAAAAAGAAATTTAAGTGGGGCCCACCGAAATACATCCTGACCGTAAATCAGATGCATGCGGTGTCTGTCCGTATGGAATAATTTTTCTCTATTTTGGGATGGATTATGGTCTGGTTAGATCTGATTGGATTGACTAATTTTGTTTTCTTTTTTTTATTTGGTTTAATCTTGTTCAATGAATGTTTCATTTTCAAGCTAACTTATTATATTTAAAGTCTTAATTTATCATATAATAAATACATAAATAAATTATAGGTAGGGCATTGTGTGCCGAGCACAACCATTCCATCTCACGCTCTTGCGCATTGTTATGCCTTTGCTCATGTCAAAAAAGAGAAATTATTACATCTGGATGAGTTGCGTCTGGATTAGGTACGGATGGTAGTATTTTAAGGAGTGTTTGTGATATTATGATAGTATTATGATAAAACAGCATTACAATACTAATATCACTACAATATTTATAATAACAATTAAAACAGTATTAATCGTACCTACGAAATCCGGATGTAATAATTACCTCATAAATGGCTGCATTTAACTGAATCCATATTTGGCACCTCCTCAGTCTCGGCATATCCACAAATCTGCTTGTTCCTGAATGCAGGTACACATGCATTGGGCAGATATTCCTATATGTTATGGCCCCACACAACCAATAGTAAAGATAATGACATTATCAAGTATATAATTCCAGCTTACATTCAAGTCATATTTGGTTGGTTTGTGGGCTATTCATTTAAATGTAAAATCAATCATAATAGAATACGATTGAACCTTAAATTTTTTTTTTTCATTTATTTATTTATTTATTTATTTATTTAGTTTGTGGGTGAAATCACAATCTTTGATCACTAATTGTAAGATGATCGTTTGATTTGGTATAGTTAAAAACAATCTAACCAATTTTTTAACATTTTATTGTCGTTTTGCTTACTGAAGGAAATTCTACGAACTAAAATTACCATATATTACTATTCTTATTTCCCTTTATGCAGGTAACAAAAGAAAAACGGTCTAAGCTTCGGTTTTAAATGCATTAACTTAAAACAACGCTTTTGTACTCGAAGCTTACGAGTTACAACCCAATTTTTATAGTGATTATTGCATCAGGATACCAGACACAATTTTATGCCCGGAGTCCAGTGAGCACTTGCCTCGTGGCAAGTGGGTCCAACTATAATACACTGGTTGGGTACATTTTTAGATGAGGGGGACCCACTTGCCGCATGACACACTCACACTGGACTCCGGATTCAAATTTTACGTCCCGAGTTCGGATGTAATAATTTTTCCAATTTTTAACTCTTGAAACCAAGCCTCCACTATGAGATTTTTATCTTTTTTTTATTATTTTTAATTTTCTTCTCTTTATTATGTATCACCAAAAATGTGACATATTAACTCAGCCATTTTTGATATAAATTCAAAAGAGAATGTGATGTGTTCTAACGAGGGAGCAATCTAGTAATGAATCTGAATATTTTTGATATTAAGATATTGGAGAATAAAGTGAAATATGTTTTCTCGCAATTAACAAAATAAAATGATCAGAACACTGGTTACAGGTTTTATAGCCCATCTATGTTGGTGTCATCTAGCGATCTAGTGAACACCCAGGCCTCCGGAAGCGATGGTGTCTACACATTAAACGTTACCGGAACAAGTAATCAGGTGAACGTTTCAACTGGAGTGGACCAAGCCGTGATCAGCAGTAGTCTCTACTCAGAATTCCCTTTAGCCATTTACTCTATAGATAAAGTCTTGCTTCCATATCAGCTCTTCGGGCCGAAGCCGCCCGAAGCGGCGCCAACACCGGCACCAGACGTAGCGCCGAAGAAGGGCCCCCCGCAGCACCGGCAGCCGACATTGATATAAAGGCATCGGTGGCAGGGTTTGTAGGGAGGAAGGTGGAGTGGGGTGTGGCAATTGGGCTTGTGTTATTTTGTATGTGGTAGTCTGATGTGAGGATTGAGGGAGTGGTCTTGTTGTATGAGATTGACATTGTTTGCTTCTTGGTTGATTTGAAACTACAACACTTATAAACAAATTTGGTTACTTTAAATTTGAAATTATGTTTTGAAAACATTGGGTTTAAGAGATTTAGCCATTTGCTGAAATTAATTGAAATATTATGTTACAGTTTGAGCTTCACAAAGGTTCATATGATGTATTTATTTTTTGCATGGTAATAAAGAAAGAAAAAAAAAACATATTTTGTAATTCTACTTAATAAATACCAACATTTAAACTAGGCCTAAATAAAAAATCAAAAAGGAATTTCTTTTAAAATTTAATATTGGAATTCTTCATTATCTTGTATTTCAAATTAAATTTATGATGGTTTAAGACATAAGTCCCAATCAATATATACTTTTAAATGTTGATTGAAAGAAACAAGATGCATGATGGCAATAGAATACTTTGTATGGTTTATTACTTCAAAATTTTGGTTATTCAAAGAAATATTTTGGCAATTGGGAAACCTCCAATGTTTGGAATTGTTTTCTTGTTTAAATGTTTTGAGAGTTTACCGTTCCCCATGTTCTATTTAAAATTATCACATAAGGATTAAAGGTCTAATATTGATTCATTTTATCGTTATGTTAATATGTTTAATGTCTTGTACTTGCCGGTCAAAACTTTGATTTCCTTTTTTTTTATTATATTGTCAACTCTGCTTATTAGCTATACTCCTGGAGTCACGGGTACGATCCCTCCTATGTGCGAAAATGAAAATTTTAGACATGAGATTGGTCGGGATATATATATATATATATATATATGCTATCTACAGTGCTACTGGAAACCGAATTTAAAGGCATTTGCTTCTCACTATAAGCATGAATAGGCCATGTATCTAGATAACCCATGCGTGACGACCAACACATACTCTTTATATTAATAATCCTTTTCTTTAGATGAAAAATCTGTGAGGATTTCATGCAATATTTCATAGAGTTCATGAAATCCCTCATTTAGTGCTACCAATCTAGCAAGCACCTCAAATCCAAACATTATTCCTTTTGTCTAGAACATCAAACCAGCGGCTAGATGAATATTGTTCATGCTAAACATCTAATCCTAATGTCATGAAAATCTAGGCCAAAGTATGGGCCCAACCCTAGGAGAGAGAATACGGAGATTTTTTATTAAAATTTACAAGAACTTCAAAATGGCCATATTTTTAGCTTAATTTAATTATAATGTAAGTTTTTTGAGTTCATTTGGAAGGCAAAATCGTAATAATCATCCAAATTAACATGGGTTAGATGGACCCCAAAATAAAGTTCGATTTGGGCACGAAGGGGCTCGTGTGAAAAGTTTTGATGATTCATATGCATTCTTAAAGTCTATTTTGTTAAACAATACTTTGATGAAAAAAATTATGTAGGACTAGTTCTCATGCATGAAAGCTCGATTGCCATGCAAAATTTCATGTAAAATATTATCTCATAGTCATGAAAACTTATTGCATGCTATTCAAACATCAACAATGAACAAAATATTATTTATAGCATGAAATTCTAGGCACTACAATGATCTATTGAGAAAATGATAATTCTGGGGCATAAATATGATAATTTTAGAATATTCCCTCATCGGGTGTGTTTTGATCTAATTTTTGGATTTGATTGAAGTTAATTATGCTTAATTTCTATCTATTGACTTAATTCTTGTTTATCTTAAATACTTGAAGTGAATGAGAAATTGACTTAAAAAATGAGGTCAACAAAAATATTTTTATTTCATTATAATAATTCATTTTATTTTTAGAATGCTCTACTTAATTCACTTGGTTCATAGTGTTGTTTCCTTGTAAAATTGAATTTTTTTATTTAATTATGAATTTCAAATGTTCTAAGATTTTAAATTAATTATTTTGATAGTTTAAACGAATGACACAATCAACACAACTAATTGTAGAGTTCTTTATGTGTGGTGGCGTCTGATTGGATTGTCATTCATTAACAATGCATTAGAAGATAGAAAAGGGTTTTATCCAAATAGATCTATGTCCTACGTTTCCAAAATGCAAAAATAGATGGTAACCGTTCATCTCCTTATAGATAGGGATTCATAATCGTCGATCAGAACAATCTAAGAAATCAAAAACTCAAATTAGGATATCCACATAGTAGAAAGGATTATGGACACCACACGAACATATCATATTGATGGATCGACCGAAGTTTTTCATCCTATTCATAAAAGATCAATATAGAGAGACCAAAAGTTAAGTTTCATGTATGTCATTCAATGTCAAGGCAATCAAAGTAATTATTTGTTCTTGAACTTCCATCTAATTTTGTGAACAAACTTGTATGCTCAATAGCAACTTCCAATGTCTCAAATTGTGAATTCAATCAAAGTCATAAATCGACTCAGTGTATCGGTATTCTAGAGAAATAAACTCGTTGGGGAATGATAAGAGGAGTAGTTTTTTTAAGTTCAATGATAGATTTCAGAAGCTTAATAAGAATAATTGAACAATGAGAATGAGGTATTTCTCTTATCTTATATCAACAATGATCTCAATTTTAGGAGTAATGATGTAGGATGCAAGACTTTAGGTCACTTGGGATTGCTTAGGTAATGTTTTATTGGTTTTCTTCAGGTTTCTTACCACTCTGATAGGGGAATTGTGCTAGTAGAGGGTGCCAAATACTTAAGTCATTCTCTCCCTTTTAGTTAGGCGTTGACATAGGAATGAGGCACTGCCTCGAGGGTTAGGAGGTCATCAGGTTCCAAGTGAAATTTGATTAGAATTGGGAGGTCGAAGCTAGCCTAAGCGATTCGAATAGGTTTGCGTGTTACGACCCTTGGCCTGGGCTTGATTCATTTGTCTAGGGTCCTAGTTCAGGCTAAGCTAGCTCAAGCCACTTGAAAGTTTAGGTTTGATCCTAGGCAATGATTTGCAATTGGGAATGTTTGAGACTTCTAATTGATGCTTTTATATTCCAAGTTTGAAATGTAATTAAATTATTGTATTTTATAAGATTTCAAGTGAGCATGTTAGGTTTAATTTAATAAATGTTGAAATGAGATGTTAACTTGTAGCTTGAGGAAATCAGGCAAAGTTTAGTTTGCGCTATTCTATATGGAATGAATTAATCCACGAAATTATGCTGGCAAAAGAACCACCCAAAGATAGATGGATACAAGTGCATTTCAATGTTTTATTTGAATTGGATCTAATTGAATTATGTTGGTATAGTTTAATTTTAAAATTAACATTTTAGACTTAGATTTGAGTTTTAGGTTATGTTTAGATTTCAAGTTTTAATTTATGTTTTGCATTAAGTTTTATGTACTTTGTAGTTTATGTTTAGTTTAACTTAAATTTTGTGTTTTTTTTTTAATCTTTTCTCAAATTATCTTAGTATCAAAATCACATCCAAGTATACAAATAAAATATATGTTTTATTCTAAATATATTAATATTTAATTTTGAGATTATATCATATAAGTAGATAAAAAATTTATGTGTTAAATGCATTTATAGTATGTTTGTGAATGTTACATCAAAATAATAAAAGTACATTAAAATAATTTTAAGTTTCTCAAAAATAATTTTTTTTTAATTTATGAAATCAAAATAATAATAATAAAAAAATATTAATCAAATATTATTTTAGACTGAACGAACGTTGAAACTTTGCAAATTAAGATTTTAGACTTTTTTCTAACCAATTTGTCATGCATTCGAGCATATCAAATATGTTTTCTATTTGAATATAGAAATTAATGTTGAATAAACTCTTCATAATATATTTGCTTACTTTAAATTGAAATTAATGTTTATATAATTTTTTCTTAGGTGTTATTTTAAACTTAGATTTAAATATGGTTTTAGGGTTTTGTTCGTGTTTGTTAAGTTTAAGTTTGGTTTGATTAGGTTTGAAACTTATCCCGTTTAGGTTAGTTTATTTTAAGTTCCATTTAATTTTGGGTTTAATTATTTTTTTTATTTGCATTTAAGTTTTAAATTTTGTTTGATTAAGAGTTTGTTTAAACTTTGATTTATTTATTATTTATTTGTTTAGTTTGTTTTAAATCAAAATGAGTTTAGTTTAATTTTAAGCCTGTTTTGATTAAAATGGGTTTAGTTTGATTTTAAGGATCAAGTTTTAAACTTTAATTTGGGTGGTCCATCTTGATTTATTTTAATTTTTAATGAGTTCAAAGGACCAAATTGAATAATATAAGCCCAAGGTTGACTCGAGCATGATTTTGAGTGAGCTTGGAACCAATCAAGCTCATTTTGTACCATAGCATTTAGCCAGGGAGATTTTGTTTGTTTGTTGGGCTCCACTAGATCTCTATCAGATAATTAAGTCAAAAGGTTGGACTAGCCACTCTAGTTCACTAGTTCACATGGTGAGCCAAGGTATTTAAGGACATCCAAGGACTTAGGTTAGGCTCCTAAGTTCAAAACCTCAAAGATACAAAGAGTTACCTAAAAGACATGCCAAAACTTAAAATGCACTCAACCCCCAATTTTTAAAAACATAATAAATAATCAACTCAACATTAAATGCTATGTGTTAAGGATCAAACAAGGTACATTTCAAATCAGAGCGAGTAAGGATATGGTTTTGATTCTACAATCGGTCCAGCCATCAGTTAGTCCTCAATCGTCACTAAAGAATTGTTCGAGCTAGACTCAAAGAAAGGGTTGAGAAGAGAGATATAGCCTCCTAAAAATGAGTTCAACAGTACCAAATTCAAACCACCTTCTACTCAAGTCCCACCAATGAACTTACTTTTAGATATGGACAAAATATTAGCAAAATTTTAAATTAAAAAAATATTTCAACATTTAGAATTAATTCCTTTTTACTCTCTATATCTAGCTTAATAATTTGATCCTTTTTTATTGTTTAGCCTTTTTCAAGGTTACCACTCTTTGTTTAGAATTTCAAGGCTTTTTGGAATATTTCCTTTCTTTGGATGAAGAATGAAGCAATTCCCTTTGGTATGCCAATGCAGATTATAACCAGAACAAAATGAAAGAATATTATCAAAAACAATATTTCAAAAGTATTTAAGATATCAAATTACAATATCAAAACAATCTAGGTATCCATTTCAACAATCCCTAATGCAGTAGAAGTTCTCATAAGGTTGAAATAGATGAATCAACTTAAAAAAAAACTAGCAAAAATAAAAGCTAAAGAATATGATGCACCATGATTTATGAAGTACAATCCAAAATTGGAAAAGAAATCCAAACCGCCATAATTTGTAACTCAAAATTAGCATCAAAATTAGCAGTCTACTTATGAAGCCTCATCAAGAACCCATTAATTTAATGAAAATTTTTAGTAAGGACTCCTTATCTATCTTTAAGATTAAGAAGATGAATAAGTATATGACTTATCCAACAGACCAAAACAAATGCCTCAAAAAATTTCATGTCATTAAATAATTCCTTCAACAAAACTAGCCAACCATAAGCATATTTTCCAACCAATGCAATTTAGAAGGTCTATCCATAGCCCTAATTTCATCATTTTGAACAAAAGATTGAAACCTTGCTACTAAAAAAAGGTTGTTTCTTCCCAAAATCAAAAGCAAAAATAGAGAATGTACAAGATAAGGCATCCTTGATAGATTTTGGAGGAGCTTCATTGTCTATAGGTTTTTTTTTTTCTAGATAGATGGTATTAAAAAGGAACAAAATCCTTCTTATCCCGAAGATTAGTCTCCGAACAAGCCATCAACTAAAATAAGCTAGCACCAAAGGCACTACAACAACCACCAAACGAAGAGGAACAGCAAAATTGAAAAAAGAAATATTGCAGAATTTTTAGAAGCAAACAAAAACAAAGAAAACAATATAAAGAAAACATATCACTACTATTAACTCAAAAGAAAAAAAGAATCATATTGCACTCTCTAAAACCACACTTCAACTGAACAATATATGTTTGCATGTGGTGATTGCGATCATAGGTGCATTTATTCTCTACCTTCATTTGATTTCTTGAAGTCATAATATTGATAAAACTATTTGGTCAAATTTTAATAAAACTCATCTTAACTACGACGAGGCAGTACAAATGCATATGTTTCTCGCATTCTGGGAGACAGCAACGCAGTCACTTCATAGCGAGCTAGAAGCCCATATTTGACTAGTCTTATTTTGTTGTAATTCCTATATCATTGACCTAAATTTTCTGTCATTAGTATGGGATTGTTACGAGAACAATGTACAAGCTTGAAAAGACATAAATTTTGAAGAACTCTAGAGTCCATTCTCCATCCTATTCTTAAATTTTCTCTAGGTGTATTTATATCAAAAGTCTGAATTGCCCCTTTCAGATAAAGGCTCCAAAAAGATTTATGAAATAATCAACTGCACAATCAAGTCTGGATTCCCCCTCTTCAAAATGTAAGCTTTATAAACTCATCAATTAGTTAACAATATAACTTCAAATAAAATTTAATTTAAGCTACTAATAAAACTCAAATTTGTCCTATTTTTTAAAATCTTATTTAATAATCTTTACAAGCAAACAAGTTAAGCCCTAATGATTCGTTTAGCGCCATCGAGCCAATGAACTGTGACTATCAAGCCCAGAAGAAATCTCTTGCGCCCACCACATCCTAAAAGAGATTTCACCCACAGTGCTATTTCTGCTTATCTTCATCATCTCTTCCGTGACTTTCTGAATCTCCTCAAGTTCTCGTCTTTCCATTGGAAACTCAAAAGTAGGCGAAGCATGATAAGAACTGCTTACTCCTCTTGGGCTTTGCAATGCCGGAGAAGCACTAGATGAAGCCAACAAGGCTCTGGGTTTCTGCAATGGATTCATGGGAGAAGAAATTGAAGATGGTTTCGCTAATGGAGATGAGGGAATACTTAAGATGGTTCCATTTGGTGAGAGGGTTCTCTTTGCCATTGCGTGCCAGTGCTTGAGACCAGCAACCACTTGGTCTGCTAATATAGTTTCCTTCATTGACGATCCCATCTATTTTTACAATAAAGTTAAATAATATTCATACGCAACCAAAATTTTTCCTTGAAAAAAAAAAAAGAAAATAAAATGTAGTGGATTACCTGACTAACTAAAGCATACAGAGGCAGGGTGACATAAGCACACATGAACTGAACAAGCAGGCTTATTGCAATGGAAATCGCCAAGTGTTGGGTTTTTCCATGGAGACATGAGGGGAACCCAAATGTGTACTGAATTGGGACATTTAAGTTGATTATAAATTTTTAAATAGAAATGAAACATTTAGTTGAGGGAAACTTTTTCAGTCAGAATAAGCTGAGAAGTTCTGTATTAAAATTGGACTACAATTTATTTTCAAGTACACTTATTTTTCTCATATAAAAAAGTAATAATGGAATACAATTACACTACTATAAGTAAAAGATAGGTAAATTGATAAATAGTCTTCAATTATAAATAATGAGAAATAAATATGAAAATTAGAAGAGTGGGTTACTATGTGATTTAACGGACAGATATAATAAAATTAAATTCATCCTATTATAAAATTTATCAAACTTTTGTGACTTATTTTTTCAGAGTTTGACATGGATGCATTCTATCGACACTTACCGTATCCCAAATGATAAAAGCGATTTGAAATGAATTCTGTAAGGAATGAAAACATATTATTACCTTGAAGTAGGAGATGGAAAAGAAAAACAAAATCCAGTAAATGAAGTAATTATGGTGAACATTACTCTAAATATATATATATCTAAGGAAAATAATTACCTCGATTAGGATAAATTGAATGGCATAAAGAAGCAATTGAGGTTTTCCAAACCAAAAGAGCTTATCATTGGGTTTAACGCTAACTTCTCCTGAAATGATTACCATATGCTTGCTGCCCGTCAAGCACATTTTTGTTATGATCGCTTCCAATTTGGCGCCTATGACCAACAGCACCTAAACATATAAGCATGTACTAATGTTAATTCTTTGTGAGATTTGTCGAGTTCAGACACTCATTTCCCGAAACTACCAAAAATATGTCCAGTTCAGAAATTCATTTCTCAAAGCTACGAAAAAATTAACACAATATTATTAGAATATATTTTTATGGCAGATATGTTAATATATATAAAAAAATTTATCAAGAACACAAAAAAATATGTAGGTGACCAATTTTTGAATATTTATTTGTTTTTACTTCTATTTAAATATCCTATATTTTTTTTATAATTTTTATTTGAGCTCATGGTTCTTGTATAATTTTGTTTATTTAACTACGTTGCCTTCTATACAGACAATTTTTCATTTTCATGCAGAATTGAAATCAAAATGATCTCACATTTGGTGTTAATAATTGATTATGACAGTTTATTTAAGGGGTAGTCTGAGACAAATTTTTTGGGGCGAAAATTGAAATCCGAAGCTCAATAAAGTAATAACAAAATAATATACAAACTAGGGAGGCTCAAAACGCATACAAAAGCTATACAATTCAGAATACTTAAAAATAACAAGTTACAATACAAAACTAAAAAAAGATGGCATCTATAAACTCAAAAGGCCTTTTTACCGCCTCTTTATTTTAACCTTTATTGGAGCTTCATGCTTTTATTTGAAATTGAGATATCTTTTCGGCATGGTAAAAACTTCCCAACGAAAGAAATATGTCATTAACTAATTATTATAAATGACATGAGAGTTTAGATCTAACTGTCAAATTCCTCATCTCGTCATGGTTCCCTTCCCATTCTTGTCCCTCACTCGTTCTTATCGTCCACTATCTAACCACTTATTCTCTCAGTTTACATTATTTAGCCTCAAAGCTCTTTGATTGATCCCTTTTCGGATGAAAATAAAAAGTGGACCGCCCCCATGGCATGTTTTCTGTTTCTCGCCAGCTCTGCCCAACATAAAGGATCACTACTCTTCGGCATTGCGTAGACCCAACTTATTGCATGCCTACTACACTACAGTCTACATCTATTAAGTGTTATGCAAAAAAATGTGGAAGCGTAGAAATTCACAAAACATTTACGTGGTTCGGCGTTAATAGCCAACGTCTACTGGGAGGGAGATTTCACTAGTACCGGATGAGAGAAAGAAAAAAAGACTAGGGGTTACAATTCACACTTCTCACCATTTACCCATAAGCCACTCATACGCCTTAGGTTCCTTTCTATAGAGAAAGATTAGGGTATACAAGTAAATAAAGCCAAAAGACCAAATTACCCCTAATTAAAATTAAAGTCATAAATAGAACTATCTTCACCTCATCTCTTAAGTAAATATAAGTGAGAGGTTACCAAATGAACACCAAACTCCAAATCAATTGCACCAAGATGACTGCCCACGTATCCCCTCTCCCGAAGAGATCAAGCCTCGCGTAGTTCTTCAAAATGCCTGACTGAGCAATCAGTCTTAAGCTCGGATGCTCACCGAACTCCTATAATAGTTGAACTTCTGGACTAATTGTACCTTTGCTAACATATCCATTGGATTCTCCTTCGTATCCATCTTCTTCAACAAAACCTTATCTTCGTTAATCTAGTCCCGAACAAACTAGTATCTCACGTCAATGTGCTTGCTACGAGCATGATGAACAAAATTTCTGGGCAAAAATATCGCACTCTGACTGTCACAGAACACCGTCAGAGACTCTTGATTAACTTCTAAGTCATCCAATAAGCTTTACATCCATGTCACTTCCTTCTTCACCTTGTGACTGCCATACACTCAGCTTTCATAGACAAAGATATAGTAGATTGAAGAACCGACCTCCAACTAACCGGATCTTCTGCCAATGTGATTACACAGCCAGTCGTAGATCTTCGTCTATCCATATCACTTCCATAGTCTGAGTCAATGTAGCCTATAAACAAATCTGCAATAGAATGAATGTCTCTCAAACACCAAGCCAACATTAATTGTTTCCTTCAGATGCCTCAGAATACTCCTCACAGCCTGACAATGTTTCCTTCTTAGATCATGCATGAACTTGCTCATAACACTAACTGCTTCTGCAATTTCTAGTTTAATACGAACCATGAAATATAACAGACTACTCACTGCACTAGCATAAGGAACTCATCGCATATCTTTCATCTCCTGATCATCTTTAGGACACTGATCCTAAATCAACCGAAAGTGAGATGCAATGAGTAGACTCATCGTCTTGCTTGATTCATCAACCCTAAATTGCTTCAGCACCTTCGAACATAAACTCCTTGTGAAAGCCAAACATTTTCAGCTGCCTTGTCCCTGAGAATCTTCATACCCAAAATTCTACGAGCTTCACCAAACTACATATTGAAATGTTTGAAAAGTTGATTCTTCATCCTATCAACCTCAATCTGAGTAGCAAAAACAATCACATATCGCTAACATATAAAAGAAAGTAAATGAACTCATCGTTGGCCAACCTTTTGAAATAAGCACAATGATCATACTGGATCCTCGTGTACTCCTATCCCCTCAGAAACTGATTAAATTTTTTATACCACCACCGTGGTGACTAATTCAACTAATACAAATGCTCCATTTTCAGGCGGCTACAACATGTAAATCTCCTTTTATAATTTCATTTGTAGAAATACAGTTTTCACATCAATCTGTTCCAAGATCAAACCATACTATGCTACAAAAACTACGAGAACACATTAAGAGATTTTTTACAGCTGGGGAGAACACTTCATCATAATCAATCCCTTCTCGTTGTGTCAAGCCTTTTGCCAATAATCTTACCTTGTACCGCACATCAGCTCCTTGAGATCATTCCTTCTTTGCAAACACCCATTTGCATCTGATGGCTTTCCTTCCTTGAGGAAGCTTTACCAACCTCCAAGTATCATTCTTCTGAAGAGACTCCATCTCTTCATCTATTTTCGCTCTTCAAAGATCGCAGTCTTGGCTCTCCACCTCTTCTTCGTGTATACAAAAAATTTTTGCCTCTATGGCTAAAAGTGCAAATGCAATAAGATCCCTCAACCAAGCTGGTTTTGGGACATGTGGCGCCTGGTCCTGCTCCTAGCAATAGATTTCTAAACAAGAATCTCATCCTCAACATCTTTTTCCACCTCCTCCTGAGCACTATCAACAAATATCTCCTGAGCTATAGCTAAATCAGATATCTGAGTTGGAGCAGAGAAATTCTATGAAACAAATGATGTTGCATCAAACTCCAACTTTTCCAACATATCTGTAGTCCTAGTGGAACTCTCCACCCGATTTGAGTCCTGATTTTTCAACAAGCTTGCCTCGTTGAATATAACATCCCTGCTAATGACAACCTTCCTTTTTGACTGATCATATAGCTTGAAGCCCTTGACTTCACGCCTGAATCCAATGAAGATGGTTGCTTTGCTCGCAATTCCATTTTATCATGTTGCATGTGGTAGTAAGTTGGAAACCTAAACTCTCACATGCTCATAATCTCTAGCAAGATGTCCTGCCACATATCCTTGGGGGTCTTCTTCCCAATAGCTGCACAAAACAGACGCTTCATCAAGTGACAGACGTACTCTATAACCTCAGTCCAATAGATTTTATCAAACCCAACATTTGATAACAAACGCCGAACAATCTCCACCAAAGTCATGTTCATACTCTTTGCCAGCACATTCTGTTGCGGTGTCTCTCAAACAGTGAAGTGATGCTCTATCCCAACTCACTGACACTCTTGCAAGAATGCATCTGAAGTGCACTTGTTCCCATTATCTGATCTGATACACCGAATCTTTTTACTAATCCGAGCCTTAATCTACTTCTTCTAAGTTATGAAAATCTCCAACACTTTATTTTTGCGCTTCATGGTGTACACCAGAACATACATAGAGTAACCATCAATAAAAGTAATGTGGCTTGATCTAAAATTAGTTGAAGATGAATATGAGTGTTCACACTTCTCACCATTCACCCAAAAGTCTCTCATAAGCCTTCACACTTCTCACCATTCACCCAAAAGTTTCTCATATACCTTAACTCCCTTTTCATAGAGGAAGATTAGGGCATACAAGTAAATAAAGCCAAAAAACTAACTTATCCCTAATTACAATAAAAGCCATAAATACAAATTTAGCTCGCCTCCATCCTAGTCTTCACTAATGATAGCTTCTTTACCATCAACATCCTTGATATCTATCAACAAACACAGCTATTGCTCATGTAACAACCTTGGTGCAGCTGGAACGACCGTCGGAACAACCACCCATCGCCGTCGAAACCACTGCAGTCCTCTGCTATTGTAGTCCCTTCTGTCGCACGCCTATTTCGTGTCCAAGCCGTCGCCTTGCCGCCAAATCTATCGACAAAAGCATGTTGGATAACCTGCTGCAAAAAAATCCTGCAACACGCACCAGATTTGCTGTTTTCGACGCTGAACCTTGCTCCGAGCATGAACCCGGATCTCTGATACTAATTGTTATGTGAAAATAATGTGAAAGCAAAGAAATTCACACAGCAACAATCAAATACAAATGATTTATGTAGTTCGACGTTAAGTTGATTCACCTTATTCAAAAGGGAGTAAAATTTCACTAGCATCGTATGCGAGAGAAAAAAACAAGGGGTTACAACTCACACTTCTCACCATTCACCCATAAGTCTCTCATAAACCTTGTCCCTTTTTATAGAGGAAGATTAGGACATACGAGTAAATAAAGTCAAAAGACTAAACTATCCCCAATTACAATAAAAACCATAAATACAACATTTAGCTCGCCTCCATCCTTGTCTTCACTAATGATGCTTCTTTAACATCACCATCCTTGAGATCTATCAGCAAACACAGCTCTTGCTCAGGTAGTAACCTTGCTTTCTCTGATGAGCACCCACCTCCTAATGCATATCTTTACTACAGTCAAGCATGCAATATTCACAATAGGTGATACGACACTTTTTCTCTGGTTGCATCTCAATTCTCTAATGATATATGATCGCTATTGTCTTACACATAGAGG